GCACTGGGGATTGAGCCTGCAACCCAAGCATGTGCTCTTGACCAGAATCGAACTCGGGACCCTTCAGTCCACAGGCCGATGCTCTATCCACTGATCCATACCAGCTAGGGCCCTAGCACTTTTCTTGATTGCTCTCCTGTGTAGAGTCATTTCTTGGAGTACATATCTTTCTCTTTTTTGGCTATTGTTTATTCAATGAGGTCATAGCCTTACGAAACATCCTAAGAAAGAATATGTCAGAGGGAAGTTTTCTGAGTACTTACATGTGTAAAAATATTCTCACACTTGATGGATAGTTTAGCTAGGTATGGGTGTTTATTTGAGATTGCCATTTTCTTGCAGATCAAATTCGTGTGTTAATTGAAAATAATTATTATTTATTCTTTAATTAGTTGGATGCTTCACGTGTCCATTATAAGTACTTGTCACTGTGTGCAAGTGCATGAGAGACTTGAAAACAGCAAAATATTCTTTAAAAATAATTTTCATGAAATAACTTTTTAAATTAATTCTATATGAACTTCTCTCAAGTCAGTCTTATTTAAAGAAGTTTAATTTTAAAAATTGTTTTTTCAGGGGAAAGACGGATCCATTGTGAATGTGACGGTGATCAGAGGGGACCATTCTGCAGTTCTTTCCATGGCATTTACATATGTTCCTTCTTTAAATCCAGTGATCATGTCTCTGAGCAGAAACAAAAGTAACATAGCAGGTAAAATACATGATATGGAAGAATCTTTTATTATTAGGTTTTTAATCCCATAAAAAGGAAAACAATGGCTTATACATTTTAAAAAATATATATTTTATTGATGTTTTTACAGAGAGGAAGGGAGAGGGATAGAGAATTAGAAACATCGATCAGCTGCTTCCTGCACACTCACTACTGAGGTTGTGCCCGCAACCAAGGTACATGCCCTTGACTGGAATCGAACCTGGGACCCTTGAGTCCGCAGGCTGACTCTCTATCCACTGAGCCAAACCGGTTAGGGCGGCTTATACATTTTATTGAGCTTTGTTTAGTGTTACTACTAGAGACCCGATGCACAAAATTCGTGCAAGGGTAGGCCTTTGCAGCCCTGGCTGCCTAGGCCCTCACAGCCCTGGCCTTGTCTGGAAGGTCATCCAGATGGTCATTCTGCTGTTTGGCTGTTTGGTCGATTTGCATATTATGCTTTTGTTGTTATAGGCTAGGGGCCCAGTGGATGAATTTGTGCATCTTGAAAGGAACTGTGGGCCGCGAGGCTACGGTAGACACAGGGACAGGTCTCGGCCCATCCTCCACGCCCCCGCCTGGCCCCTTTCTGGTGCCCCCGCTCACCTTCTGCACCATCCCACCGTGGCCAATGCCTGCCATGTTTCGCACACATCCCCTGGTGGTCAGTGCATGTCATAGCAACTGGTTGTGGCTGTTCGGTCGATTTGCATATTATGCTTTTATTGTTATAGGCTCGGGGCCTGTTGGATGAATTTGTGCACCTTGAAAGGAACTGTGGGCTGCGAGGCTATGGTAGACACAGGGGCAGGTCTCGGCCCATCCTCCACACCCCCGCCTGGCCCCTCCTGCCGCGACCCCCGTCCCCTGTCTGCTGGCAGCGGCGCTTGCCCCACTCCCACCTGCTGTTGGCACAGAGCGATTGGGGCTGGCGCCAGCAATGGGTGTAAGCGGGGCTGGCGCCGTCAGTGGTGCGAGCAGTGGCTGCTGCCCCAATCGCCCCTCAGGAGCAGGGTGGGAGGTGGAGAAGCCCTCAGTGGTGATCAGGGCCGTCAGCCGCCGCTTGCACCCGCTTATGGCGCTGAGTGATTGGGACCAGTGCTGAGCCCCAGCAGCAGGTGCGAGTGTTGGGCAGGACCACGCCGGGTGGGACCGTGGTGCGTGGGAGCAAAGAATTTTCGCTGAGCTCCAGCAGCAGGTGCGAGCAGGGCCGGCACCAGCAGCAGGTGCGAGTGCTGGGCAGGACCACGCTGGGTGTGACCGCGGTGCACGGAAGCAAAGAATTTTAAGTAACCACCAGAGACTCGCCCCAATGACAGTGACTGGTGCCCCACCTTGGTTGGGTGCCCCTGCTCACCTGCTCCACCATCCCACCATGGCCAATGCCTGCCATGTTTCACACATACCCCCTGCTGGTCAGTGCATGTCATAGCAACCGGTTGTTCGGTTGTTCCGCCATTCGGTCTATTTGCATATTAGCCTTTTATTATATAGGATATTTGGTATGGAAGTTACTTTTCTGAAAACTAGGAGACTGGTATTCTCATTTTAGTCATCATTGAATAAATCTCCTTATATATATTTTCATTCTATAAAATTGTGAATATTTCCATTATGATAATGACATGGGAATTTAGAAGTGACAATTCAATAAATATTTATTGAGCACCTACTATGTGTTGATAGCACAGACATATAGCAGATTTTACTTACTGTCACTAATTTACACAATTATTAGCCTCCATTTATCGGAAAGGAAACGAAGGAACAAAAAGAATAAGTAACTTGTCTAAGATGTCATCTTTAGTAAGTAAAAGAGCTGGGATTTGAACCAAGCTGTCTGGTTGCAGATTCCAAGCAGTTAGCCACTTATATAATTTACTATAAAATACTGTTTTGGGTGTCATATTCTATTATAGCAGTTATTTGATATGATTAAAGAATAGGGTATTCTGATTAGCCAAGAATTCTTGTTCATTGATACATACTATATATAAAAAGAATGAATTCTTTAGCACACAACAATAATAAGCAATTTCATCTTTCTTTGGTAATTCAGATGACAGGATAGAAATATAATAATTTATTATCATGTCAGACCATATAGATTTGGGAAAGTACAGGTAACACACCTTTCTGGTTAATGGAATGCCAGATACTAGAAGGTTTATGGCAGCCATATATGTGTATTATAAAAGACCATCAAATATACCCCTGCTCCCCTAAAAAATGCCTGAAATCAATTTTTTTCTGGTACTATTTTCATTTTCCATTGCTCAAGAGTTCATAAATAAAGGGAAGTGTCCTTTAGCTCTCAATATTATTCAGCTCAGATAGTGCAGAAGAAGAATTTGCTGCCTCAGGCCACCAAAGTGCGTAAAATTCTTTAGTGGTATAGATTCTTCCCAAGGAAGTAGAAAAGGGAGGAGGGAGCTTTGTGTTCTATTCAGATTTCAGTGATTTTGGCTTTTAATAAAATTTCCTACCTATAATGAAAAGAATAAATACATTGCATCAGTGCCTGAAAGGCATCTAGGATTAGCTTGACAATTGACCAGGAGCCCAAGGAGTTCTTGTTATTGATATATACAACATGATGTGTTCTTTGCAGAATTTGCACTTGCATTCAAATTTTTCTACAGGCAGTAAAAGGAACATGTTATAAAATCCACAAAGAGTGTTAATCTGTTGGGAAGGTCTCTTTGAAAGTTGGAGTGTTACATATCTTCATCCAGGAGATGATTATGTTGATGGTGACATTGAAGCCAAGATGAAATCAAAGAAAGAGAGCTGGGGATGCGGCCAGATAATTTGATGTAGAGGACCAGTAGGGTGGATTTATCGTCAGTCAGCTCTAGATATGAATGAATCCCAGTTCAACCACTCCATGGGCAAGATATTTAACTTCCTTTACCTTTAGTTCCTTTAATTGTTAGGTGGGAATAATTCTTTCAAAGTTATTATAAAGTTGGAGTAAAGTAGGTAAAAGTCCCTAGTCCAGGAGCTGACATGGAGTAAGTACTCAAATGCTTTGTTAAAGAGAATGCCATCATTCTGCCAGATATTGTGTTATATTCATGAGCCAAAGATGACCTCTGCATATTGGCCCTATGTTGTTTACTTTTTCACAGCTGGTTGGGAGCCATTAGTTCAAGACTGCCAATGTCAAACCCAAATTTTTACATACACAGTTATTTTCAGTACTAGAGGCCCAGCACGCGATCGCGTGAGGAGGCGCCCCGCCTCCCCCTGTGTGAGGAGGCACCCCAGGGCCGCCATGGGAGTCAGGCTGGACCTGTGCCTGACTTCTGCCCCAGGCCCCCTCTGCCCCCCTGCCTGTGTCCCCCTGTGTCTGTCTCCGTCTCTGCTCCGGGCCTCACCTGCGTGCGCAACCTCCTCCTGTTTGGTCGTGACCCGTTATGGCATCCCGGCCTAATTTGAATATTACGTGTGTGTGTGTGTGTGTGTGTGTGTGTGTGTGTGTGTGTGTGTACCCCAAAGTAGTTTTTTGTAGTTTTTTAGCTTTTTAGAGACAGCCTGCTTCACATATCTTATAAAACTACACACAACATCTGCTAGATGTAGATAAGATAAACCTGGGAGCTATAAAGAACTCTAAACCACTGATGCCCTTAGGAGCTCTTTGACCCAAAGACTTCCCACCACACTGCTGAGTGACATCATGTAGACACATAAACCCCTTTCTGATCACCCTTTCCCCCAGGACTTCCCTTGCCGTCCTCCCCTTCTGGCTGGTGGTCCCTTATTATTGCCTCTGAGATTTCTGCATTTATGTGACCCTGTCAAAGCACCACCCATATAAAACTCATTTTTCTGTGCTCTGCCACCTTGTGGTCATGTCTTTTTTCTTTGTCAACCCTGAAATTCCTAGAACTCACTACATTGAGGCTTCAGACTTCACAGTATAAACAAGGCTGGGAAGACATGAAGAAGTAAAGAGGATGTGGATGAAGTTAACCGAGGGCTTTTGAATACTGTACTACACCGGAGGCTTTCCTGGGACATCTAACTTAATCCTTACAACAGACAACATGGGGTGGGCTCCGTTACTATCTTAATGATGAAACATCCAAAGCTTTGAGAGCCCAAAGTGAGTCACACAGGCAGTTAAATGGAAGAGCAAGGCTTTAAATACTCAACAAGCCACAACCCCTCCTCTTTGCCATTTCTCTTTCAAGTAAATGTCCTCCTCTAATTGGCTGTGGTGTCCTACAGATGCCAGCCCTATAGTAGTTCTCAAACATTAGCAGCTCAAGGAGCTTAAGAGATGCTTTCTTTAGCTCTAGCTGTCTCTGTGGACACACCAAGATGCGGGAAAGGCATATTTATTTATTTTCCCTCCTGCCACTGTATGCTTGATTTCTAGCTTTTGTTGACTCCAGTTGTCTGAGGAGTGGGTTTCCCCTCCCCTGTCTTTTTAACTGATCTTATAAATTGGAATAATAGCTTTAATCATATTCTTTCTTTGCATAGAAAACTGTGGAGGCCTCTACTGTCCAATGGATTAAGTAGAGAACCCTCAGGATAGGCTTTATCTTCAGCCATAAAACCACCGTCAACGTGGCCTACCCTAGTAGAGTCCCTAACTGTACGTACATGCGTCTGGTCTTCCAGAAAGTCACCCACATCTCGTTCCTTCTCTCACAGCCACTGGGTAATGGCATGTGAAAGTGTTACAAAGACTTGGAGTAAACTTGTGGAGTTTTCAGAATTGAATTGTAAATCCCCTCTTGTTTATATTGGCCTCTTGGGATTTAGCTTTCAAATTGAAGTTCAAGCATTCTCTTGCCCATGAGGCCTTTCTTGATACTTTGAACATTGACCTCACTTGAACAACCCACTGCTTAATTGTCACCTCTGGATGGTAGGTGATACAACCGAGGTTCTTTTGGCACCTATTTTCCCATCTTTGAGGGCTTTTTGAGGGCAGGGTCTATGTGCAACTTATTTTTGTGCCCCTGTGACATGTTAATCTTGGTACACAATGATATTTGAAGTAAAAGGCATTGAATTAGTGTGTCCATAATATACAGAGCATTTCGGTAGAGTTGCTAATTAAACTAAATGCATCTAAATGTAAGAAGACTGGGCTCAGGCCTTGACATTTCCATTAATTAAGCATGAAACCTTGGTTGCTGAACCTTAGTTTCCTCAAAAGCTAAATGCCAGTCCTACTAACAGCTCCATCTATCTCATCAGGATAGTGTGAGGATCAAATGGGATAACACACGTGAAAATGCTCTGTGAACTGTAAGTACTGTACTCACATACAGCATTAGTATGAGGTCCAGGGCACACTAAAGATACAGCTTTAGACTTCTATCCGTAGAAAAGTGGAAATTAAAAAAAAGGACATAGGGTACTATTTGTTGGTTATGAAGGCCATCCACCTGCCAAACTATTTCTCGATTTGCCTCTGCGTGAAGATAAATTAGTTTGCCTCTTGAGTACAATTGTCCTGACAACTTTGAGATTATACCTTTAGCTCTATAAAAGAATTGTTATAAGTTTAATGAAAAAAATTAGGTTGGCATTAAAACTCTTTAATTGTGGTACGATGCACAGGGCTGGCCATGTATTGAATAATAAGAGACAATTTTAGAATGGAAGAGGTGGTTGAGGACACAGACCCACATCACAGGGGCTAAGGAATGCTTTTCATACAGGAGGTGAGACCCTTTTCATCGGCGTGGCGCTGCCGGTGGACTACTTGGATTTGCATGTGGAAGTCCACATCCAGGATTCTTTGGCTCGGGTTCATGCGGAGACTGCCCAGGGCCTGGAGGTGGTGCTGCCCCCGCTGCCAGCTGGCCTCCACAGAATCTCAGTCTCCATCAACGGGGTCAGCATTCGTGCACAAGGGTGAGGTCAACACTTGCTGTTAATTTTAGGTCTGTTTGATGGTCTAGTGATTTAGTTGAGGAATTCTAGTTTTGAGTTAGGACTTTAATTTTTATTCTTCTGAAGTTGGGAAATAAACACATGAGAATCATAAAATTTGAAAAAATCTTAGAAACCCTACAGGAGAGTTCACTCTCAAGACCAATTCAGGGGAAACTTTTGGTTTACTAGTTTGGGAGCAGAGAACTTTCTGGAACTAAGATATCATGGCTCTTAGGAGGGGTGGGCATCTATATAGGAAGGAAGAAGATCCTCTGCTTTAATAAGGATGTGTATTTAACTAAGACCTTTAATAAGATTATGTCTTGGGCTTTGAATACATGGCTTATAATTATTACACAAGCCATATTCATATCCACTGTGCCCTGAAGTCCCTCTGCCCAGTATTTCTCCAGAAGTTCTGTCTCCTCATTCCAGGAAGTTAGCTAAACTGCATGGGACTGATGTCACCACATGATACTGGCCCAGGAAAATGTCCCACCAAACATCTTTTCCCTACCATTTCTTTACTTCATTGTTAGGCAATGTATTCACACTTGCTCTCCATCACCGCTCTCTTCTCTTCCAAATACATACACCGCTTCTGTCCTGCTCCATCCTTTCTAAGTCCTTTTCTAAGCCTCTCAGTTATTTCATAGCAGTCTCCCATTTTCTTCTGTAGGGTGGATCTTCACATCCAGTACATCACAGAAGTTTTCAGCATCGAGCCTTGCTGTGGGTCCCTTCTGGGTGAGTGGCTGTGACATGACTGGTACCATTTATCCAGAGTGTATAACTCACTGGATACTCAGATTTCATTCCTGAATTCATTAACCAGTGAGATTAGAAATGAGCAACAGGGAGAGGAGTTTTCCCTGTGCTCCAGGCACTGGGTGTGGTATACTATGAAGGCTGTGAAAACTCGGGGCACCCTTATCTCAGCAAGCTCAGGAAATTGAAGAGTTTTTATGAAAAGGAGATGTGCCTGGCTTTCTTTTCCTAGTAGAAAGAGGATATAAAATCTAATGGGTAGCACGTCTTGAGTGGATATTAGACAAATAAGGCAATAGCTTCCTGCATTCATCCTTTAGATCCTGCACATATAAGGAGAAGAGGCATGAGGTTTGGTGTCTTCACTTTTATCTAGGGATGCAAATGAAAGACACAGAAGTAGCCAGAAACACAAATCCCAACATGGGAGATATGAGGACAAGGCAAACAGAGAAACCTAGGAAATTATTTTCCCCCCAAAATGGAAAGCTATATGTGTGCATGTAAATAATCTTTGTAATAGTGTATGAAATAGCACATGATCCTTTTTGAGTATAGTAAAATCCTTTTAAAAGCTACTGGGCTACTAGTATACTACAGATTTGGTAATGATATGGGATGTATTGCTCCAACTCCTATCCTGAAGATGGTTTGATTGTCCCTTAGCTGGAGTGCAAGATGAAGTCTATAAATATAGCAGTAAATTCACAAGAATGTTCACTGGCTCTTGATATGTCACACACACACACAACCATATAATATATGGAATACTAAAATATTATATAGGATAATATAGATGGTAAATAGAATTCAAGAGATTTGATTTTTCATTATTGTGTAAGTTGAATATATAGAATTCAACTTACACAATAATGCATATACTTCACAAAACAACATATAGAAGAATATGAAATAAAGTCAGATAATATGGCAGCTGATAAACTAAGGAATTTGGTTTTTCATTAATATATCAATTGTATCTAGGTTTATATAAAATATACATACACTCTCTCTACATAATATGATAATATAGACTAACATGTCATATAATATAGCAGATGACAAGAACACTTTAAGAACTTTGATTTTTTTAGTAGTGTATAAGTTGATAGAAGTGGTAGCTTCTAGGATGGTATCAATATACTTGAAAATGCTGTCTTAAATATTAAAACATTCTTCCTTTATAACAGTTTATATTGTTTTACTGTGTGTGAATTTCAGCCCATCTGATTCCTGCAAAAATGAATTTAACATTGATGAATTCACAAATTTAACATTGATGGGGTGAGGTGGTATCATTGAGGTCTCACTAACACCCCACCCTCCAGTTAATCGCTCTGGGGCTTACGTGGGTGTTGTGAGTTCCTGGTTCTGAATATCAGCCTTAATATTTTGTTTTTGGTATTCACGCTTTAGGTGGAACCATCCTCAGCATCGTAGGAGCAGGGTTCAGCAGGGACCCAGCTTTAATTTGGGTGCTTGTGGGCAATCGGTCCTGTGACATTGTGAACTTAACAGAGACAAACATCTGGTGTGAGACGCCCACCCTCCTGCCACCTGAGGCAGACGTCCTCACTGTCCCAGCCCCCGTGGAGGTCTGGGCTGGCAACAGGTCCTTCACCCAGGCACCTGGACCACACCTGGTGGGGAAGGGCTTCACCTTCACGTACGAGGTGGCAACAACGCCAGTGGTCACTGCCGTGCGAGGAGAATTCACAAATAGCAGCCTGAGCCTCTACGTGGAAGGAAATAACCTCTCCAACTCAGTGATGCTTCTGGGGGACTTGAACTGCGACCTAGAGACACAGTCTTTCGGGAGCAACGTGAGCCTGTCCGGGTGCTCCTTTCCTCTCCACGGTTTGGAGGCCGGTGTCTATCCCCTTCAAGTACGTCACAAGCAGATGGGCTTTGCTAACATGTCTGCGGTGCCCCAGCAATTTGTGGTGACACCGCAGATAATGGCCATCTCGCCAGCCAAGGGTTCTGCTTGTGGTGGGACGGTACTCACGGTGAGCGGGTTGGCTCTCAACTCCAGGAGGAAGTCGGTTCAGGTGGATCTTTCGGGTCCCGTTACTTGTGCGACTTTGAGCTTGGGGGACCAGACAGTCCTGTGCCAGGTTGACCTGCTGGGCGACTCCTTGCCTGGTGCTTCCTTCACCCTGAACGTCTCAGTCCTGGTCAATGGGCTACCCAGCGAGTGCCAGGGTAATTGCACTCTTTCCTTGAGCGAAGAGACAACTCCTGTCGTGGATGCCTTGACCACTAACATCAGTGGGTCTCTGACTTCAGTGCTGATTAGAGGTCAGAGGTTAGGCACCACAGCCAATGAGCCAGTGGTGTATTTGGATGATCATCTCCCTTGTACTGTAACCTTCTTTAATGCAAGCCACATCACATGCTGGATAAGTGACTTGAGCCCGGGACTCCACTACTTATCAGTTGTTCATTCAAGAAATGGGTATGCTTGTTCTGGTAACGTTTCCAGACACTTCTCTATTTTGCCTCAGGTGTTGGATTATTTCCCCAAGAATTTCAGCACACATGGCGGAGGCCTTTTGACCTTAGAGGGCACCGCCCTAAGAGGGCAGAACAGCACGTTGGTCTACATTGGGCAGCGGGCCTGCCTGACGGTGACCATCAGCGCGGAGCTCATCCGGTGCATTGTTCCTGCAGGGAATGGCTCTGCTGTCCTGGACATAGAGGTGGATGGACGTTCATACCAGATGGGAGTCATTGATTATAGCAGCACCTTCACCCCGGAATTGCTCTCTGTTTCTCACACTGGTGACGTCTTAACCTTTGTGGTGGCCCGGATCTCAGGAGCTGAGAACGTTGACATTTTTATCGGGGTATCACCCTGTGTGGGTGTCGCTGGCAACTGCACGGTTCTCCAGTGCGTGGTCCCAGTCCTTGCTGCCGGGGAGTACCAAGTCAGAGGTTATGACCACATAAGAGGGTGGGCCTCATCTGTCCTGGTGTTCACATCGAGAGTTACTGTCACAGCAGTGACTGAGAGCTTTGGTAAGCCAAGCAAATAAGACAGAATGCTTTCTTTATGTAAGTGGATTAATCGCTGCTCTAAGAAGTAGGAGACAACATTGATCTGAATGACAGAAGGAGAGAGAAGCCTGATTGGCCTCTTACAGTCCCAGTTTCCTCCGAAAGCTGCATGTGTGAGGTTATATTTTTCATCCAAAAAATTGTGCCTATTCTCTAAGTGTGTGATTGTATTTTAATTGGATGCTTTTACACAATTGAATTTATGTGTTAGATTAAATAATACCATTTATAAGAGCTCATAATTTGATCTTTTAAGTAGAACATAAATGCCTATGTGTCAATTTGAATTATTTTAAACTTTTAAATGTGATTAATTTTTAGCATTTTATATATTTTACAGATGAATTAATACTCCACTAATAATAGGCCAGCTGCCTACTATGATTGCATTGGTTGAACTTTTTTCTCCTTTTAGATTAACTGAAGTTTGCCTTGCCTTTTCTTCTAAGGACGGTTTTGGCTGCTGTTCACGTAAAGCCTTAATGCACTTGGGATAGCTCGAATTTGATCGGGCTGCAGAAAGTGTAGAGGAAATTGTGGGAGCTGAAACTTTGACTGATGCAGTACTAGGCAAGCCTTTTCTTAGAACAAATTTGTCCGGCTTCAGCTGGGTGGGATGCTATGGGGATTGGGATTTTGATCCCTAGTATGTCAGTAACTTAGCTGGGCAACCTTCTAAGCTTCAGCTTCCTTATTTGATAAAGGGGTTTGGGTTGGATGCTCCCTGGTTCCCCTTTCTTCTCTCTAAGATTCCATGATTTTTATAGCGAGAAAGCAGAGGTATGAAAGGCATGATAAGCAAAGTGTTGTTCTTGAGTTTACAGGTGGCTGTGTAAGTACCACCTAGGCTTGCTATGAAGGCAGTAGAAACTCGAACTCTTTCTCAGCGTGGACTAGGCATTGCACGTGTCTGAGAGTCCTGGTGACATTTACCTTTATTGCTTCTCAAACTGAAGCAAAACGTGTCTGTTAACAATTGTCAAACTTTTACCCATTAGAGACAGGCACTGTCATACAGTGCTGTAGAAGTGTAAACTCATGCAACATTATTTTGGAGAAAAATATGGGAATACCCATTAAAACTAAAAATTTATGTTTCCTCTGATATAGAAATTCCACTTCTAAGAATTTGCAATAATTTTATTTAAATAAGTGTACTGTTCATTGCAGCACATGAATTATAGCAAGAGAGGATAAATAATGGAAGTATCAATCAATAGGAAGATTGCTGAATAAATTATGGCATAATCATATGATGAAATTCTAAATAGCTATTAAAGTGATGAGTTAAGTCCTTATATATAGACTTGGAAAAATGTCTATGCTATTCCTTTATAAACAGGTTATATAAAAATATGTATAGAAAGATCCTTTGAATAAAAAATATGTATGCTTAGAAAATTCTGGAAGGATTCATAAGAAACTCTATACATAGCTACTTCTAGTGAGTGAGATAGGTGATTAGGGAAACTTTTACTTTATTTTTTATACTTTTTTGTATAAAAACTTAAAGAACTATAAAGAAGCATTACTGCCCTAGCCGGTTTGGCTCAGTGGATAGAGCATCGACTTATGGATGGAAGGTCCCGGGTTCGATTCCGGTCAAGGGCACATATCTCCGTTGCAGTCTCAATCCCTGGCCCTGGTCAGGGTGCATGCGGGAGGAAACCAATGGATGTGTCTCTCTCACATCAATGTTTCTCTCTATCTCTCCCCTTCCTTTCCACTCATAAAAATCAATGGAAAAATATCCTCGGGTGAAGATTAACAACAACAACAACAAAAGAAGCATTACTTTTCTATATGAAAATTATTATATTTTTATAGGTTGTTGACTATGATTGGGGTCAGACAGACAAGGACTCTGGCTTAGTGAAAATAAGCTGAGGGAGGCTGTCAGGGGCCCGAAGCCAGCTGTGTGGGTTCTGGGGGGTGTAAAAAGAGTGACGGGCAGCAAGGAAGCGTGAATTTGAATTGCGAGTTAAGTAAAGAAAGAGATCTGCCTCTATGATCGTGCATTTGTGATTGTGTTTTGAAGGCTGCCTGGGTGGACGGCTTGTGCATGTGTTTGGAGCAGGATTTTCTCCAGGGAACATCTCAGCTGCCGTGTGTGGTGCTCCCTGCCAAATCCTGGCTAACGCTACAGTGTCTGCCTTCAGCTGCTTGGTTTTTCCCCTGGATGGTCAGTAAAATGCCGTATGTTTTTAAGAGAGTATATATGAGAATGATACTCTTTGGTTAGCCCCATTTTTGTGATTAACGCTGTGTGCACCTCTAATTTTTCTGTATTCCTGGGAAAAGAATTTCTCTACTTCCCATCTAAAATGGTAGCTAGAATCAAGGACCTTGTATTAAAATGGTTCATAGTAAGTTTTGTCATATTAATGGCAACAAAAATTGATCACCTATGTTCTTGATTGCAGTCATATGATGATGGAGAAAGTAATTTGGAGTTCTAAATATTGGTTTCAATGACAGCCTTAAGTATCATGGAGAAAACAATCTCTTGGTCTCTGTCCGGGGTGGGGCTGTTAAAAACATCTGGTTATTCCAGGTACTAGAGAAGGGATCAGATCATCAAGCTATTTCTTGCATATTTGCCTAATGGCTGAGTTCTTGAATTCTTATTATAGGCAAAAGAGCCAACATTAACATCATCCTCTTATTCTGCAATGTTCAGGTAATTACTTGGGCCCTTACTCAGTAAAACATCATGATCTCTCACTGCTTTAAGCTTCTTAGGAAGGTGCAAAGCTTTGATAGTCCCATGATAGGGCTTTACAACACAGGGTATTTACCCACTGAGCTTTACAAAAAAAAAAAAAAAGGCAAAGGGAAGAAATTGCCATTGTCACTACAGGAACAGCTTAGCCAGGTGATTATCTTATTTGCGAAATCATAGCTATTGTACCTATGAACTGAAAAGCCATTTTTACACCTGCTCTCTGTATAGTGCTGTAAGTTACATTCCTAGCATGTGTCTGTACCTTGAATGCCATGCAGGTTTTACAAAGCATCGTTTCATCTGAGCTTGAGAAAAAATTCTAAGATGGATAATATTGTGATGCTGGTTTGCATTGGGTTGTCTTACACAAGAAGGAGGAAGAGGAGCAGGAAAAAAAGAAAAGAAGAAACCATTCTTACTTAAAAAATGCTAGAAATTGAATTTCTATATCATCATATAGTATATAAGCAGAACGTGTGGAGGAGACCCATGCTCCTTAAAATTCTACAGTAGGAAGCCAAATAAATTTAATTCCACAGTGGGAAACTTAAGATACAGTAAAAGATTTAAGTTTAAGATGTTTTCTGTTTCATTTTTCACTCTACCTTCTATGCATAGAATAGTGCTGGCACAGTGCATGTGCAAAATCAATGCTTGATAAAGGAATAAATGAAGGAATTAAGAAACCATGGGAACAGAAAATCAAGACTCCACATTTTTAGGTTTTAATATTTAATAATAATGCTAATTTTTTTTAAAAAAGGCTTTCATATATACACTGCTTAAATTAATTAACTTTTTAAAGCCCTGTGGCATTATTTAAAGACATTTGATTTCAACTAGAAGTCCAAGATAAAAACCACCAAGGTTACAGGGTCAGGTAAATTGTGGTATTGGAAGTGTGACAACTCCTACAGGAGAAATAATAGAAATTATTTTTATTTTAAAAGATTTAATGAAGTTAGAAAAGGACTTAACATTCTGTATTTTTAAAAGAGGAAAACGAGTTGGAAGCTGTAACTCTTATCATTGTCACTAGGTGTCACCAAACACTCATTGATTGTGCAAGGGCTGCTAATTTACTCTAGGGAAATGGACTTTCTTCTTTCATGAAAAGAAAAATAAAAGGTAAAAAAAAAAAAAACCCTCTTAATGACAGTATCCAAAGATGGAGAGGAACTGATAAAAACCAACTCCATTGGTTCTTTACTTGAGATCCAGTGTGGTATTTGGGGATTCTATCAACTCCCTGAAACTGGTGAAAACATTTTGAGTATATGATTGTGTATATTTTTTCCTATGCAAATAGGTCTATAATGGACATGAAATAGTCAAAGGGAGTGTCTCTCACAAATTATTAGAAGCTACTAATAATTTCTCTACTTGCAAATAAGATTGCTTGTAATGAATCATTTTATATTTGTTATATAAATTTATGTTATATTAAAAAATTTTGTAGAGGACTATTTCCCAAGCAGCTATGATGTGCACTGACCACTAGGGGGCAGATGCTCCAATCGGTAGGTTAGCTTGCTGCTGGGGTCTGGACCATCGGGACTGGGTGAGATGGGGCCGGACATGCCCTGGAGCCCTCCCGCAGCCCCTCCGGCAGTCCCTCCCCAGCCACCAGCCCGATGGCCCCGATCTCAGCCAGGTGGAGGGACCCCACCCGTGCACGAATTCGTGCACCGGGCCTCTAGATGAGAATAATAACATTGCTATTGTTTTTGCTGGAGCAGTAACAGCAGCATCACCTGGGAATTTGTTAGAAATGCAAATTCATGAAACCTACTGGATTTGAAACATTCCAACAAGTAGATATTTTGGTATTTCACTTCTGAGCTCCCTCTGAATTCTGACATTCTTTCCTAATTTGAAGCTCCAAACTAGGTAACTCCTCTGTGTAAGCAAGTTCTGACAATATTGGGTAGCATCATACGATGCCTACATATAATCTGGTCTCATATTTGTTTTAAAAATTACACTGCTGCTTTGCTGGTTTATAATCTCTCTGTTACTGTTATTCCAAGGTGTGTGGTTTTTTTCTTTCTTTGTAACATAACTGTGCACAGCTGGAATTTCCTCATCTTATATTTATATAATTTCTTTTTTTCCCCCTGTGGTTTACTGCCTTACTATTTTCATTTAGTCTTTTTGTTTATTTCTCTTAACTTCTCTAATTTGTTAAGGTCACTTTGAATTCTGACCCTTGCTTTGAGTTCTGTTTCTTAGTTTGACTTTGCATAATGAAGAAAGCAATGTTTCAGATTCTGGGATGCAGATGATGGCTTAGAACCCAAACTTTCCTAATTATTGTTTTGCTTATTCTGATACCACAGCACAAATGTGTTTTCTTTTCATCAGTAGAGCAGGGCGTTTAAAGGTGCCGCTCTAAAAAGGTGTTTTTGTTTTTTTGTTGCTTCTTTTGGTATTCTCTCTCTTTGCCTTTTTCCCAAACTGTGCTTCTAACATAAAAAGAATTTTATTTTGTTCATGTGATGGGCTGCTAAAACATCTTGTCAGGTGAAACTGGTACTTTGTATTTATAAAATCAGCATGATGTTTGATCTTTGGCTTTTTTGCTCTTGTACCTTGAATTATACTACATGATGTTTTCATGGAAACTTTAACTTTTCCATGAGGCAGGAAAAGCTAAAGTGATTAAGGTTACACCACTATTTAGTGGCCCGAACCTTGAGTAAAATCCATAGATTCTGATCCCAGCCCTGGGTAACTTTTCATCATCCACCTTGTCAATTTACATCCACCTAATCACCCATAATGAGTTCATTATTTTATAGGTGTTGAACCTGTTTTTATTTGCCCTAGGGCTTACTAACTGGAAGTTCTCATGTTTCCTCTACCCATAGGAGTCTTACTAGTACTTGCCAGCCATTTTAATGGCTATGATTCATTCAGGACACATTCACAGACAATCTGGCGGATGCTTTGGAATATAAGAGCAACAATAATAATATGTGCATGTGATTGCATAAGTGCAAACCCTCTCACATGGACTTACCTCATTTGTCCCTGTTTCATGCAGCAGTGTGATGGAGACAGGGCTTAGGTTCAAGCCCACAGTTCCTGATAACATTTGTCATGTACCTGCATGGACAGGCTACCTGTAGAGGTAGAAGGCTAGAGAAAAATTTTCTTATTTCTTCTTTATTTCATTCAGGTTTTTAGATAGAGCTGCTCCAAAACCATCTTGTGTAGAGATTAATCTTCCTGTTTAAGGTTATTGCCAGTCTGCCTTGTTGATGCTATAAACATTGTGTCTTATGACCTGAAAAGAAATGGCCTAGGGGTCAAAGGGCTTCGAATAATTGCTTTTCTTCTTTATAAAAGGTTAATAGTCATAATTATAGGAAAATCAAGGACTTCTTTTAATCAAGAGATCCCATAAAGAGAATGAAAAGTTTAGCCACAAACCTGAAGAAGGTATCAGTAGCCATATAACCTCCATAGGTTTAGTACTCAGAATATATAAAGAACACAAATTAATAAGAAAAGATAAACATTCCAATAGAGAAAAGGACAAATGACAGAAATAGGAGTTTCGTAGAAGAGAAAACATGTTATTACTAAACTTGTAAAAATTGATAAAAATGCAATTTAAGGCTGCAATGAGGTGCCATTATACACTCACTGGGCTGGCCAAAATTAAGAGTTTGATAATCCCAAGTGCTGACAATTATGTGGAGTAGCAGGAACTCAAAATTATTGCTGGTAGGAATGTAACATGACACAACCACTTTGAAAACAATGTGGCTCTATCTTGTAAAGTTGAACTTGCACCTACCTTATGAACAAGCAATTTGAAGGCATATACCCAAGAAAAAACTTTGTACATGTTTGTAGAAGCAAAGACTAGGAAATATCCAAAAGTCTATTAGTAAGAGAAATGAAAACCATATTATATATTCACACAGTATAGTATTGAACAGCAGTGAAAATGTATGGACAAGGTCGATGGGGGGAAAAGGAGACATATGTAATACTTATTAAGAATTTAAAAAAGAAAAGAAAGTATGGACATCATTTACATGTGATAATATAAATAAATCTGGAAGTATAATACTGAGTGAAAAAATCAGGTCCAAGAATACTATGTCACATATTCTATTTTATAAAATTCAAAAACAGGTATAACCCAATAATCTTTTGTTTGGGAATATAAAGCCACATGAGAAAACTGTTTTAAAAACGCAAGTGGTTGTTTCTGAGAATGAAGAAGAAGAGGGTGGACTTGGTGAGGAGCATCCAGATTTGAGAGTATCACAATTCTTTTAGATTTGTGTTGGCTGGCAGATTCACATGAATTTTTCTTATGTTGTTTCATACTTTATAAAAAGTTTTACTTATATTATTCTGTGTGTATTATGTACACATAATATATTTTTAAAGAAGTAAACTGATTATTTTCCTATTCGTTAAAGGACAACACATGAACTTCATTTACGTAACAATGTGAGGCCTCCAGTTCTTTCTGTGGTTATTACCTAACCTAACAGTGACCATTTCCTGCAGTGTCCCTGGCTTCCCTGTGTGACCTGAAGCATGAGCAGGAGAGCTGTGAAGCCGCCAGTCACACCTACGTGCAGTGTGATTTGACTGTCACTGTGGGGGCAGAGAGACTGCCTGAATCATGGCCTTACCTCTACATTTGTGAAGAAAGTTCCCAATGCCACTGGACAGAATCAGCCTTTCCATTGTTCTCAGGCCTCTTCCTCAGGTAACCCTGTGTTCTCCCTCCCCGACCTTCCCCACGAATGCATGGCCAATGGACTGATGAGGCATCAGAGACTGCAGGCTGGGTGGAGGTGGCTCTGGGGCCCCAGCACTCTTGTTAGAGGAACTGTTCCATTGTGGATTCCAGTCTGCATATCAAAGCATCTCCTGTCTTTTCAAGTGTTCAAGAGAACATCTGAAAAATCTGCCCAGTAAACAGCCTGCTTTGTTCTTGCTCAGATTTTAATATTTATCTTCCGATCCAAAGCAACATCTGGTGAATGCCAATGGGGAAAGAGATTAGACATTATGAAAAACAGAAGGCTCTTTTCCCCTTTCCTTTTTCTTTTCTTTCCAAACAGATTCACAAGTATGACAAAAAGTCATAGAGAAATCCAGCAGATTGCACAATATTTACTCAAAAGCAGGGAGGATGCACAGGCAGGATGATTGTAGATCTAGGATTTCGAAGCCATAGCTTATCAGGATTTTTTGAACTTAAGAAACAAATAAACAAATACCACAACTTTCCAGGTAAACCCCCTTTCTTAAAGAAATTTAATAAAACAGGTGTGACCATGTTGATAACTCTGTATGGCCTTAATTTCCACAAGCAGTTTCTTTCCTGTGTGGTGTGACTTTTCATTGCTGAGCATGGCCCTGTATCCTTCCTAACTTCTTATCTGGATGGAGTGGTTACATCTGATAGTTATGAAGGCCTATTTTCCCATTTAAAAAAGAAAACTATACAAGATCAGTTACCCAGCATGAAAGAGGTGACTGGTTCTTTTCATGGCCATCCTACCATTCCATGTCTTGAGACTGTGATTTAGCATGAATTTGCCACCGGAGGTTTGTGTTTAGTCAAGGAATTGGCTGGTTGCTTTTTAGAAGAGCTTGAAGAACTCTGTTTAGGTCACATAGGAAATGGGGTTCTAGAGGTTATACTCAGGGGAGACCGGATTTCAGAACTCACTGCTGCTGGACACCAAGATGTACATGTCACTGCCCCTGGCTCCATAGAATTGGCGGACTTGATCTAGATCCCCAGAGCTATTCCTTTGGAGTTATTCTATGTTCTCCCTCCTCACTGTAGGAGGTGGCTGAGGCTACTGAGCTTCAGACCCCATTAAAATTTATGCCCTTATCAATATCATTTTGAAAGTGCTACTCAATGTTCTTGATATCACAGCAGGCAAAAGTGGGTGTGTTTTCTTGAGTAAGAATGAAAATAAGTGTTGTGAGTTAAACAAAGTGTATACTTAGTGTTGAGGGTGAGGGGAACCAGCACTGCTCTTTGCTGCCATGAGAAGGAAAGTTAGAACAATCTACAGAGATCACTTGGACAGTATGCACCAATAACCTTAAAATTCTTTGTATTTGGAGACTCAGCAATTTCACTACTAGGATTTTATTTTAAGAAAGCAGTTTGAAGTATGTAATATTTATGAAAACATGTTCTTTGAAGTTTTAAGTATCATAAAAATTTGAAATGAAATAAGTGTTCAATAATAAAGAATGCATTCAAATGATAATATACTAAGAAACCTTTGAAAATCATGTTGTAGAGTATTTAACCAAAGAGGGACATGCTTACAATATATTGGAAAGTGAAAGGCACACGTCACAAAATAGTGTATTATCTATTCCTAATGGTGTATATAATGCATATATTTATATATGCATGTGATAGGTTGCCGGGGCTGACCGGCAGACTTTGAATGACCGATAAATGATTACTTTACTTTGACACATGTTTCTGTGAAAGAGAAGCTAAGGGACTAGTTGGCATTAGGAGCCAAAAAAGCCTTGATTACCTGCCTTATTAGCCTTTTATTGTCATAATAGTTTGAACTAAAATTAACTATTAGATACAATTAGCAGGGTAAGTATTCTTGAGAAAGCATATGTGTCTGTCCTGTCCTTTAAGCAAGGCCATGTCTAAGTAAACACCCAGGGGTTCAGACTTGTTTGGGAAAGTTAAGATAGGGACTGCCACCTTCGGCAAGTTCCCCTCAGAGGCCTCCACCTTTTGTAGAATCCTTCTTACAGACATTCCAACCAAGTCCCGTGCTTCCCTATATTAGGTGATTAGAAAAAAGACTGGAAGGATATATTCTACAACATTGAGAGTGCCTATTCTTGGGTGGCTGTAGCGCTGGTCATGTTTATTTTAGTCATTGAGTTTTTATGTATTTTTTTCAGTGAACATGTACTAATTTAAAAATCAGAAAACATACTCTAAATTATACAAGGGGCATTAAGAAAGTCATGTGCCAAATAGCTTACCTTGGTTTCTCTTAAGATTATGCCTGTGAAGCCAGAGAACTACTTTCTAGGATCTTAGCAGGGGACCCATTTCCATGAAATGCTATATCCCCCTGCCAGTCACTACCACGATGGATTTGATGTCAATTGACAAAGGTAGACATGCATATCTGTGGTGAAAATATGCCTAGTTCATCCGTGTGTCCATCTGTCCGTCCATCCATCCATCCATCCATCCAATCACCCACCCACTTACCAAGTTCCCACTATGTTTTAGGTACTGTGTCAGGAGCTGATCACTCCATGGTGAAGAAGGCTTCAAAGTCCCTGCCCTTAAGGGTAGAAGAGAAAGCCAGACAATAAACAATACAATCCCATCTTGTGATAAGGAGTATAAAGTGATGGAAAATGGTGGGGGCTACTTTATACGATGTGCTCAGAGGATGCTTCTCTGAAGAAGTGCCTTAAGTGCTGGACTAAGGAGAAGAAGGTGTCATTATGCAGAGTCAGGCAGTGGGGGTAGCAAATGCAAAGGACCCATCACGTTTTGTGAACTGTCAGAGGACAAACAGCAGTAGAGTGCGGAGGAAGGAAAGTGGCTCTACCTGAGCTCAGGGAGATCTGTGAGACCTTGAACGCCATAAAAGGGACTTAGATTCTATTCTAAGAACAGATTAAGTTAATTAAGTATCTTTCCAAAGTCATGGAGACAAGCCTCGGCAGTGCCAGGACCGGAACCCAAGGCTTCTGACTCACAGTGTGCTTAGCACAAGGCCCTGCTGTTAGCAGTAGCTATGGAAGTCTTGGCTGGACTGCGTGGGTTCAATGAGATTTCAGAGCCATAGGAAGCAATTTCAGGCTAAGTGAGGAAGATAGAATGATGCAAGTGCTTTTTATTGCCTATCTTAAAGAGCGCATACAGGAAGATAACGGGGTTACTTTTGGATCTGATCGGACCAACTGAAAGAGAAATAGGTTAGTGGTCAGAAAACTTAGAACTTTCTGTGCTATCATTTGGACCAAAAATTTTTATCATGTTCCCTCACAGTAAATATTTGTGTATGTGTGCATGCACATCTATATAATCTATATCCATGTATCTCTATCTATATACATGTTTATACTTATATTTAAATCTCGCCAACTGCACTACTTAATTCATAGGATTATTATGACAGAAAACATGGAATAGTAGCTATTAAGAAACTTAGAAATTTTGTAGATGTTAGACTATTTTTAATATCCTGGAGTTTCTGCTAATTTTGATGATGGCTTTTTAATGAAAAAAATCTCTAGTGAGATAATTAGGAACAAATACAAAAAGAAATATGAGCTAAAGCTTGTAAAAAGAAGTCTAAGCTAACAGAAAAGAGTTTTAACTTTTTTGGAGCAAGAAGAACCTGATTAGGGAAGACAGTGCGTTGCTATAGGCAAATGAAAGGAGGGAGAAGTAACTGACAGAGAGCCTAGAAAGGCAGAGAAAGCTCATTGGGAGGGTGGAAGCCAAAGACCAAGAAAGTTGTGAAGGAAGTTGGTCACTGCTTTCCTTGAGTTCGTGTTGGTATCCCAGATCATCCCTATACTGAGAACAAAGACCTATGTCATATGATTGGTAATCAATGTGACCAGAGGGCACACAACAGAAAGAGGTGATGGGCAAATATTCTTTTATTTGATTAAAAAGGGAAAAAGGGGAGTTCTGGATAGTTAGACAACTAAGCTTGATTATCCCTGACGAATTTCTAGAATGAATTATTCATCAGATGGTTTGTGAGCCTTCAGAAAGGGAAGTAGCTATCTGGGAATCAACTCACAAGGAATGTGATGGTGTGGTGGACCAACATCATTTCCTTCTCAAACTGTTCCAAATACCCTCTCTACCCCCAGTAGCAAAGGAAAGGTTCTAGCCATAAAGCCCAAGGACATAAGCAGCCAGTTGGTTTGAAGTTATATGTTTTATTTGAACAGTCCAAGTGAATTTTGCATTCTATTCCATCCTATTTCCATATTCATCCAAATATTACATTACATTTTAATTTAAAAGTTAAATTACCATTTTTTTCGTTCTGATTCTTGGAGTACAACTGACACTCCAGGAGCAAATGCTGTATTTACCCCATGGTTCTGTCTAACCCTGGATGATGACTCAGCTAAATGTATTTGTAGCTACATTATACGCTCCAGATTCAAAACATATTTGAGCAACGGCTCCACATAATGGAGATGACATGTACCAATAATGAATGTAAGTTCACACATTTATACTTTAACAAAAATACTACCAGCACAATTACCAGTATAGTGGGAGTGGCCTTATCTGACATTTAATGTGTGCCAGATTCTGTGCAAGTCATATTGTAGGCGTCATTTTTCTCCATTCCCTCAACACTTTTATAAAATAGGCACACAGTAATTAGGATCTCCCTTTTACAAACCAAAGCTTAGAGGGTCATGTCTTCACAGTGTCCTATAGATAGTAACTATATGCTTGGGGATTCAAATCTAGCTGGTCTGCTCCCAAGCTTAGCCTCTGCATGCAGATGTTTTCAGAAAATCAGGTGAACAAGTACAGCATGGTACATCCTCAGGCAGTTGCCACTCTGAGACATTGAGTTTACCACCATCTTAATTTAGGCATGGGGCTACCAAATCAACAGGGAGGGCTCAGAAAAAGGGAGCCCACAGCCTCAGTGGTCAGCCCAAACCATGTGTGTTCAGTTCTGGGCCCCATGATGTTAACATACTGACAATCTAAGGTAGGTTAGAGGAGAGTGGGCATGGAAATCATGTCTTGGGGGGGGGGGGATAGGGGGCTGGGAATGTTTTAGCAGAAAGAAAAGATTAAGTAGACATGGTAGTTATCCTGCTCATTATTTTTAGCAAATTGTGGGAGCAACCGTTTTGACATTGATTTGAAAAAAGATGCTCTAGTCTGACATGATTTAGTTTCTCAAGCAGTGACCTCTTGCCCTTTCTACTGCTCTTCCTGGTCTTCCCATGCGATCTGTCATCTTCATGGCTGACGTTCAATCAGCATCTCAGAACCTTAGAATACTGCTCTAGGAGACAGGACACACAGGTTCTAATCTCAGAGCTGCCATACTTTTATGATTGGCTTTATGCAAATCCCCTGATCATTTTGGGTTATATTTTTTATACTTCTACTTACTTTACTGGCTGAAATGAGATCATACATGTGAAATTGTTGAAAAGTTTAAAATATCACGCATTAATAATCTTTGAGTTAGTTGTAACAATGCCTAAAGCCAGGATTATTGTTGAATAAATATCACACCTGTTGGGGACAATGCCCTGCAATATCCATGCGCTCATCTCCCTTAGAGTGCATATTTTTAGACTTTCTGCAATGCTGTTTTTCATTTTAAATGCAGTCTGGTTTCTCTCCTTAAAGCAAGAGGACTTTTAAAGCAAGTGGCTGGTAGTATAACTGGCACATATATCGAATCTCCTTAGTCTGGGCTGTTAAGTAAGTTTAATTAATTTACTAAGTTAATGTTCCACTGCTAGCAACAGAGCCTCATTGCCATCAGCTGGGGAGAGGGAATTGAAAGCCTAAATGAGCTCATTTTTTCACAGTTGGAATTAGGGACCAGTTAGCCAGTTGTGTGGGTTTTCCAATTTCTCCATCTGCCCTGGGGGGATTCAGGCAATTCACTCCCCCAACACTAAGTGTGAGTAAGAACAGGAAGAGGGAAGGGGAAAAGAAAAAAAACAAAACATACCTCCCTAACATTTGCTTCCATTTTTGGAACTGGAAGCATTGTTTGCACATTGCTTGTTAAGTTGGGCTTGGAGAAGCTTTTGCTAATGTTCCTGATAGGTTTGGAAAAAGAGAAAGGCTGAAAGATATTTACCACGTGCATTTTCATTGCAGGGTGTGCAGATAAAGGGAAAACAAATAAACAATAAAATAATGGAAACAAAATTACAGAAATTTGCAAAATTTGACAAATGGCGGCCTGTAGTTGCCACAAGCTAATGGCTCGCAATGATTAATAAGAGTAAAAATAATTGCATTTCATTAAGATTGATGACACCCCATTTAACCTCCCCTCTCGTTTCAGCCCTAAAGTGGAAAGAGATGAAGTTCTCATCTATAATAGCTCCTGTAACATTACCATGGAAACTGAGGCAAAGATGGAGTGTGAGACGCCTAATCAGCCAATTACCGCCAAGATTACTGAGATACGGAAAAGCCGGGGCCAGAACACTCAGGTATAATCAAATCTTTTTTACAGACTGATTCAAACAGCTCAAATTTAATTTGTAATATTGTGTACATTAAAAAAACAATTTAGTCCAAATGGCAGCAATATATAATATTAAATGCTCTCAAACTTTGAGGAGCTGCTCTAATGCACAACATCTGAATTCATAGTTAACTATAGTTAATCATATATTTTCTCAAAAATAAATGAATGCTGCCTGGGTTCTCTTAAAACAAATTCTGAACAGATAATCTCAGCATTTTGTCCTGCTTTCTGGGTGCATGCTTAAAAAGGGCTTTCTGTGGCTTATTTCTTCATGAAATAAATGGCCTACAATTTAACCAAGTGCTTCTGGAAGATTTCCAAATCATTCAGCCACCCCTCCTGTCTGCTGGTCCATCCAGTTCATCTCTGTTCTGTGGAGAATAGAGTGGAAACTTCAGCTTCTGAGGAAATTACATGCAAATTAAAACCGAAAAGTTCTGCCAGGTCATTTCATCTGCCTTCTCTACCTCAGTTTATCCTTTTTGAAATCATCTAAACCACCCCCCTCAAGTGGCTCTCCAAGATACCGTCTTAAAAGTCCCCAGTGAGAGAGTCCAGAGTTTCCCCAGGGATTTTCGTGAATTGAAATCAGACTAAGGGCTCTTTGGAAATACATCAGATTATCTTTCACAGCTCCCCAGGCTTCTCACGGCACACCTATAAAATATAATATTTCTTGAGCACCTACTCCCTTAGGTGCCTTCCTCTTTATGAAAGCAATTCCCACATTTTTCTCTTTTTTGTCTCTTTTATTGGGAACAAACATTTATTGAATGCCTATTATGTGCCACACATGATAGCAGATTCTCTTGTGAAAGCTGCTTCAGTTCAATCTTCTAAATTCTAAGCTATACTTCTTGAGTTTGTAAGGCATGTTTTTTCTATAGCTTTTGGACTGGTGCTGAAAATGTATGCAATTACAAGTAATTTTTCTGTCTTTTCTAAACTGTTTCCTGTCTGTCTTCCCTTCCCTCTGGAGTCTCCCTTCCCATTTTATCACAGGTGACTGTCAGGGATGGCTGGAAGGTTTGTTGGAGTGAGGGGACTGCTGAATCGGTGCTGTGTTGTGTGTGGAAAGAGAGTTGTGGGCTCAAGACGATCTGTGGGACACTGAGCAATCTTTAGACCTTGTGGGGTCTCAGTTTCCACGTGGTTCATGACCTGGGGTTGTTGGGATGCTCACGTGAGCAAACGCCAGTGAAAAGGAGGAAGAGGGGGTTGCACAGTGGTGAAGTGTGGGCTTTGTAACGAGACTACTGGGTTTGAATGTATCACTTATCTGAGTAACTGTAGGTAAGTTACGGAACCCCTCTGTGCTTCAGTCTTCTCATCTGTAAAGTGGGGTAAGAATAGCACACCCTTAATAGGCTTGGTGTGAGGATTCTAACACAAGAGCCTTTGCCACTGAGAATTACACTAAACACCATTTAAATGTCTGATAGCCATTATTGACTGTGCTAGTTTGCTAGAAGCAGTTCTAGAAAATGATGCAGAATTATTTTTCTGTAGTGTTTGCTGTTTTGACCAGATCACTTCATGTGTTAGATTTTATCTAATTTTTCATTGTCTCGAAGGCTAATTTTGAATTTTTGAGGCCTAAATGCCTCAGTCATCTTTAAATATTTATTCAGTATGCATTTATTGAGTTCTAACCATGTTCAAGGTCCTCTGCCATACTCTGAAGGAGGCAAAAGTAACGTGGTTACTTTCAACAATAAAGATAATTTAAAACAAAAAAACAAAACAAAACAAATGACATGGAAAGAGACCCCACCTTCAGGGGATAGTAGAGAAGAGAGGCCATGTATGCAAGTAGGTAACCTTCAAAGGACACATAGTGTCGATTCATCACAGCTGGATGAAATGTTGGATGCCATCTGGACCAGTCCATTCATTGGTGAGAAGAGTTAACTGAGCTACATAAAGAAAGATGACCTGAAAAAGGTCACAGCTAATAGTTTTGCATCATAACACATGTGGTCTTAAGCATTGTGGGGGAAGTAAGCCATTTACTCTTTAGAAGCTAGGAGGGGGGGCATGTCTGACAAAACCTCCTAGGCTAGTGCCAGTGTCTAGGAGTCCGGTCCTGGGATGTCTTGTGACCCTATAGATCAGTGATGGCGAACCTTTTGAGCTCGGCGTGTCAGCATTTTGAAAAACCCTAACTTAACTCTGGTGCCGTGTCACATATAGAAATTTTTTGATATTTGCAACCATAGTAAAACAAAGATTTATATGTTTGATATTTATTTTATATATTTAAATGCCATTTAACAAAGAAAAATCAACCAAAAAAATGAGTTCGCGTGTCACTCTGACACGCGTGTCATAGTTTCGCCATCACTGCTATAGATCTTAGGGTGTCTGCTTTTCCTGTTTCGGCCTGCGGACATGTCACCTGTGTTAGGATGCATAGTTCCTAAACTGGGCCTGGGCCTGGGGAAAACCAGCATTGAAAGCTGCCTAATTGAAACTAGAAGTGAGGTCTCTAGTTCCAAGTATTATGTGTGAACCTTGGAACAGCAGTTTCACAGAATGTTAGTAAGTATTCTGTGATAAAAGGGTTCCAAAGTCAAGTACATCTATGAAAGCTGGGTTAAACACGAGTTATATATATATATTTCACCAAAGGGCTTGTGAGAACATTCAATAGGTGACTGCATAATGTGAATTTCAGAGGTGGGAAAGGTCATCAGATAGGGCAGTCAACGGAATTCTACCAAAGCAGGTGGTTGTATCATGCTACAAAGAATGAGCAGGGTACAGACATTCCAGGGCTGTAGAGGAAAGAGATTTCTGGTGGAGGAACTGGTAGGCACAAGAAACCGACACAAGAGTCCATAGGGAGAGTGCAAAGAACATGGTGTGTGTGAAGGGTCATGTGAGTTGCAGGCTTGGGAAGGTAGGCTGGGATTGGATTGCGATTGCAGGTTAAGTGTTTAGTTCTCTAATTCATTGGGTGACAAGTCATCCTTGAGGAGTCACTGCATGATCGAAGTGCCTTGAGACACATTGATCTGGTGCCTGGGTGGAGATGCCTTGGGAAACCCAAGAAAGGCAGGAGCATCTCAACCAGGCAAGATATAATTGAACTAGGGAGGTGGCAGAGGGAATGGAGAGGAGGGGACACACACAATAGTAGACACTTGACAACTTGTGTTAGACAAAGTGTTCAAAGATATGGAAAATTAGATGTGGTAGGTAAGAAAATTATATGCTGACTTTTCAAATTTGCAAAAAAAAAAAAAAAAATCTTTGTGCTCATGACTCCCAAATTATAATTTCCAGCCCAGACCTCTCCTGAGCTTTAGATTCCTGAACCTCGTAGCCTGCTGATAAATTCACTTCGATGTTGAAATTACATCTTTGATCTAACAGGTTCTAAATTGAACTCCTGATTTCCACTGCTTCTCCTCCCACCCCCACCACAGTTCAACAGAGTTAATGGCAACTTTTGCCCACCCCGTACATCCTTATAACTATTTTGCAATTGCCATTTTGTACTTTTTAACCCCTCCCCCTTTTTCACCCAGTCCTTTAGCCCCCTTCTATCTGGCAACCATCAATTTATCCTCTGTATGAGTTCCCAACAATGTGAAGGTGTCAGTTTTTCCAGTTAAGACGGCAAATCTACATTAATATTGGGAGTCAATGCAGTTAAAAACAAACAAACCACCCAACAGGCATTTTTATTTGTTTGCTTGTTTTTGGTAAAAAATTCCAGGCTGATTTAAAAAAAAACCATGGAATTGCCTCAAATAGCCAAAATTACCTGGTAAAGGAATGAATTTTGAGGACTGATGTCAAAGTTTATTATAAAGCTCTGGAATCAATAGGAGTTCTAGTCAAGATCGTGTTTGAAAGAGGGTTCTACTGCTAACATTTGTTTGAAAACCTGGTGCAGTGTCCTGGAACCTGGGGGAGGAGAGAGATGGAAGGAAGGTGTGGTGAGGCGCAGCAAAGGGCTGCGAGCAGGAAGTTCTTACTGATACTTAGGCTGCAGGACAGCATTCGTGAGGAGAAAAACCAAATGTTTTGGGGTTAAGGAGTAAGTGAGTGGCAAATAAATGCAGGCATCTGGTATAGATCACGGTAGGAAGAGAAAGAAAGGATGCAGTAAGTATTGTGGTGGGCAGCCCTCCTGATATTCATGCTCACTATCAATAGTGCTAGGGATGGTTTCTTAACTTAAAGGTGCTTTGATTAAGGCTGTGGTTTACAAGCGTGTTACTGGATTTGGGAAGAGGGAGACTCCGTAGTTCTCTCACCCCATTCATTTGTCTGTGACTACGAAACTTCTTTTGGACAAGTCATGTTAAATCGGCACCGTTTATTTTAGAAATATTTACATTTTTTAAGCTCACTTTTTCTCTCCAGTGCTTGAATTACTGTTAAAAAGAGCAAAACCACACTGCTTAATTTAATCCCTGCTTGTTGTTTAAGGAGATTCTCCTAGAAAATTGGTGCAATGCAGCTCTGTGAAGAATTTTACATTGTCTTTATAATGTGTATAGCTAGTTAGAGGCTAATTTGAAACTACTTTCTATTCTCTAATTGATTTTGTTCCTCTGATTACTGAAATCTAAAAACACTTTTTCACTTTCCTCTCCCTTCCTTTCCTTCCTTTTAGTTTTTCCTTCCTCCTATTTTCCCCTCCCCTTCCTTCCCCTCCCCTCCAACCCTTCCCCTCTTGCTCTGTCCTCCTCTCTTTTTCCCTTCCCTTCCTATCTTCTCTCTCTTGTTCCCTTTAAACCACCTCTTTTGATCAGAGTGGCTCTGCAGGTTGCGTGCCTGTGGAGGAGGTGCTGTTCAAAGCAGGGTTGAGCTGATAGTTAGGTCAGGGACCTATGATATAGGAACTCAGCTATTGCCCTCTGATTCTGAGGAGACTTGAGTCCCTGTGCCTGTATTTTCTGTGTGAATTGAGGCTCCTAATATATACCAGTTACCTACGGTGAGGGC